CGACGGGCGCACATTTTAACACTGAACCATCGAATGAAAAGTTCATTGAAAAGTTATCTTTTGCACATCACCCCCAGCATCAGTGTGTGCAGTAAAAATTATTACGACATTCCAACATAAAGCAAAAATAAAAATTAAATCACTGGCACCCAAGTAAACGAATGACAACAATACGCAACAATATAGCGTAAAGTGACAAAAGTAATGCTTCAAAAGTTACACCCGAAAAAAAAAGCGGATTGAAAATGGAAAACGATTGGCAAAATGATGCGATCCGGTTCAAGTAACTCACAAAAATGCATTGGTAAATCCGAGCGCGCTCATTCAATGAGAATGAAAAAAGAAACGAAACGAAGATCATGAACGACCATGAAGCAATTCACCTTCTTAAAGGAAACACACAAGCACAAACATCCTCCATTGACATTCAGAGAGCAACATCACTTCACCATATTGCCAAAGTATCAGTGGTAACACATTTGTCGCCCTGATGATGATGCAGCCACTGGTGATGTTGGTGGATGTTGCTGCACTCTGCGCTCATAAATTCAACTATTTATACCTCAAAATTCTAATATTTCGTGCGATATGGTTTACGTTTTCCGTCTTCGCGTTGCGATTTCGAAATGCTCAAATTTGTATGCTGAACGATGGACACTTTGTGTGCTTCAAAGTGAACATTCATTTTTGCTAAGCTCACTCGCTGTGGTCGAAAGACCACACTGATTTTGTGGCTTTTGCCAAATGGTGAAGTCACTCTTTGACTCTCTCTCTTGCTCTTTTTCTCTCTGCAAGACTGTGTCTTGCTTCGGATTTGTGTTTGCATTGAAGTTTTCTCTTTTCTCTATTTGATTTAAAATTAGTTCGGTTTTTATGGTCAAGTGAATTGAAATTGTTTAAGGTTTCCGACCCGAAACCGGCAAAATTTAATCGGTTTTTTGCACCCGGAATGTGTTCTAATGCGCTTCCATGTTTTATAGCGAAATAAATTTTCCAAGCGGCAACCATACACACACACACACTCACATATTCACATTAGCACACAAAAAAGTGGATGCCATTTTACTGGGAATGGACTGGCAGGCAACCTGTCAGGTTTTCTTAATGGTTCACAGTCTCGATCGGATGAGCAAATTTATGACTTGAATTCAAATGAATAATTGAGATTCATCGAATTCAATGAATTTTGAGTACCTTTAACGTCTTTCTCTCTCTTAACAACCGGCGGCTCTTTTTTTCTACTTTCCAATTCGACCGAATGCGAGGGATACATCTATTTGTTGAATATAATGAAAACAAAATGCAAGTCGATTATATGAGTTATAATTCACCATTGATATCTGTATACATATGATAATTTAGTTGTTTTCATGGTATTCAGTTGTTCGCTGTTGGCGGGTCATTATTTAATTTCGAGCGTTCATCAAAAACTAAATATTATTCCAACTTCAAATATTATCATTTGTTTTCATGTTATGAACGAAAAACATGCAATTGCAGGTAGGTGGGCAAACGAGCGGGACGAGCAAGCGCTCGCACATCAACCAATTCAAAACGACGACGACGCAAATGTAAACAGTACAACAAGACATAGCAAATAGTGCATTGGCCAAGATATTGCCTGATACATGAATAAGCATTACAAAATAACAAGACGACGACGACGATGATGATGACGAAAAAATGCTGCCAACCAAGGATATTTCATATCATTTATTCAAAGAAGTACAGCAAAAGAATGAAAGCAAAAGCCTTTAGCATTGTTTTCGCTAGCTCTCTCTCTCTCTCTCTAGTTTTCATTCTTTGCTTTCTTTCTTTCTTTCGTGCAGCTTTGTAATCTGCGTACGGAACGAATGTACAAACACATCAAATTGAATTGGCAATATTTTCCATATCTTTCATTACTCATATCTTCCTGTCGGTTACATGCTTCCCCATAACGGAACGAAACACATCAGCTTACATTTTATGTTTGTTATATTTATACACATCGAATAGAATATATTTTACAGAATAAAATAATCGAGAGATTTGAAAGCAAGCAGAAGAACGGACAGGAGAGAGCGAGAGCAATAGAGAAAGAGAGTGTTCGCGCTCCGACGAAATGGAAAATGCGGAGAACAAACGAAGAAAAACAAATGAAATCTAAATGTTTTATCAATTCAATTGTGGGAAATTGTTTTCAGCATATAAATGTGTTGTGTTTCGATATAAAATACATATTTTCCCTTCAGTCACTGACTTTGCCCGTTCGACATTTAACCAGAAAACGACAAGTGAAGAAAAATTGCTGAAGAAAAATGTTGAAAATCACTGTGTGTGTGTGTACATATACAATATACATTCCAATGTTCTGTTGGCGGTAAGCAGTCGAACGAGAAGTATGAATGAGCATGGAAGCGTAAAATAAAATGCATTAAATTAAAATACCTTTAGCACTAACGTGAAACTCTGTCGCAGTCTAGCACATACACATGCAATGCATACATGCTCGCACGTTGTCAAACAAAATATAGATTTGAACAAGTGACGCGATAGATAGAGAGAGAGAGAGAGAGCGAGAGAGATAAAAGTAGAGTGAGTTAAAAAAATATCCCGAAGAGAAAATGATTTCTTGGCTCGTCTCCGGCACTTTCATGCTCGTGCTCACTTTAAATCGCTCCAGTTCATCATTTACTGTATACGGTTGGCAAATGGTAATAAAGCGTTACTGCAAATAAATGACAAAATGCATATAAACCGTCATAATTTTCAATGCAAACCGAAACGATACAGATACAGACAAGATAACGTGGACAAATTGCGAGAAAAAAAAAAACACAACCATAGAGAAACGAACAATCTAAACAATCCCAATGCTTAATTTCATAACAAAATACGAGTGAAGCATGAAAAATAGATGGAAAAATAGAAGGTATCTGCGTTCAAAATGTGCATACATTTGTGATATTTTTCGCTTCAGCATGCACTTTTGCCATTCATTTGCCGTAAAATTTCAACAAATTCTCTCGCCTCTCTCTACCTCTCTGCCTCGCCGAGTGTCTCATTTCCATTGTTCATAAAGTCAATGCTTCGCCAATGTGCCAACAAGCAATCGAATGAGAGCACCAAGTTTAGAGTGGTGGCAAAAATGTTTATAATATATAATGAAAATGAAAATGGTAAAGAGTTTTGTTGCGTTATTTCTCGCAATGTGCGATTTTTTTTCCTTCTTCTGTACGATATTATTGCATTTGTTTTGGGGTGTGAACCTCCTTTTTTTCCTGCACCATGTAACTTTTCCATATTATTATTATATTTTTTTGTTCTGTTGTTTCGCTCATTCTACAAATGCTCGGGGTGTGAAAGCGAATCAGTTGTGCAAATGTAAAATAATCGTGAGACCGAAACAAGGAAAAAAATCGTCAAAATGTTTCTCAAGCGTATGTATATGTGCATGTGTGTGTTTTAAGTGGAGCAATGGTTCTCTTTCTCTCTGTCGATTTGAACGATAGAAAAAAAATCAACAACACACCGATAGAAAATGGAATGAGCGACAAAATCGTTGCCACCATCATTCGATGGCATTTGGCAGTCTGATAAACGCGCGCGCGATGACATGTAATTTGGAGTTCATTTTCATTTTCGCCCGATGTCGGTTCATTTATCTTATAAAAATATTTATACATTCCTTAGTTTTCAACTTATTTCATATCCTCTTTTGTCGCCGCGCTCGCATCGAACATCCGTTGCATTCGAGCACACTCTGTAAATGGGGGCGATGGTCGGGGTGCAAAATGCATGCAATTGCACATGAATGCAAGCTAGAGCGCACATGAAAAATGTATGACGAACGAGTAAATGACGAAAAGAATGAAAACGGCAACAATGACGAACACACGAAAAAAAAATATATGAAAGAAAAAACACTTCTGCATCGAATCAAATTAAGCATTTAGTGAATGCGTGAGTGTGTTCGTTCATATTTGGTTGCATTGGCATTTTTTTGTAAGTTTGCTCCGATTTTTTTCTTTTGCTTTAGATTTTTTTTTATTTTTCCATTTGCGATCGTAGTTGCATTTTCTCGTCGCAAACATTATAGAAATATGTGCATTGCACTTGCGAAGCATTATGCCATTGCAAACATTGAATGGTTTGACTGCAGCACGTTGCTGCTGCTCGTCATTCAACTGCATTTGTGTTTGTGCATATCTTTCTTTCTCGGTGTGTGTGGATATGTCAGTGAACGCATTATCAAGATAAGAGATATTAACGCAGAACTTTTTTTTGAAATTTCGAGTAAAAAAAAAACCAAACACAACATAAACCACGACAGAAAAGTCGCCGTTGTCATGAAACGACAAGAGGGAGAGCAAAAGGCACTAAACACTAAAACAAATACACATAAAATACTTGCAGCAAATGCATTTGTATTTTTCGGATGGAGAGAGAGAAAGAGAGAGCAGCTCGCACCATTTGAAAAATGGGTAAAAATTTGAGTCATCAAGTTTTGCAATCGTCGCATTTGCGGTACAAACGACTGACTGAAAACATTGGAATGCTTTTATGTTTCATAGCCAAAGTGGATGAAAATTGAACAATCAGCAAATTAGTCATTTGATCTATGAAACATTGGCAATCTTGATCGTCAACTCAACGCAATGCATGTTGCTTTTTTCATCAGTTGTTGTTGTTGTCATCGCTGTTGTTTTTTTCCTTATTCTCTTTAATTTTTCGCCTTTTGCTTGTTGACTCTTAAAAGCTTTTCAAACATTGAACGCTTTGGGACGAATGCATGTCCCTTCTGCTAGACGATTTCCGTAGAATGAACAGTTCTTGTTGTTTTTTTTTCCATATATATATTTCCCATTCACCGTTTTTACTTCCATTTCTCATTAATTTTTATTATTGGCAGTAAGAAAAAAAAACACATGATGAAGAAGAAAAAAATCCAATTATTCCGAAATGTTATTCATTGTCGTTGCTTATTTGATGTATGTTATTTTGTCTTTTTCAAATAGTCATAAACAAAGGTCAAACGGAAACTCAACGCTATCGTTTCTTGGGACGTAACGGAGGATATTGCTGGTGTGTCACACAAGCAACGCTCGTTTATGATAAACAGAAGCCACAGAGTGTCGTTTGCGTTAATTATGTCATAAGGTAAGTACATATTATCATTTCTCAATTGTTATCTCGTGAAAATCGAACATTATCGCGCGCGCGCTCATTTGCGTCATATTAATCGCTCGCGATCGCATTACATTTTAACTACCTACATGTAGTAAATTCTTTTGCTGTTGGTCAATTATTTCAAATTTAATGTGAACATAAAACGTGCGGGAAGACACGAGGATAAATGTCAATTATTTTTTATTTTCGGAAGTAGTAAACGATTACAGTGTCGTGTACAAACGCCAAAAGGAAACTGAATTTCATTCAAAACAAGATGAAATAATTATAAACGGAAGCAGGTCGTATTACATCCATTCAATCGAATCGAATCGATATACGGAATATTGAATATTCCAAATTGCTACAGAGTGAAAAAATATATATAAATGTTTGTTTATGGTTGTATCCTGTTGTAATTACAACAAAAACTTTGGAGCCACAACACCAGCACAACGCTGATTAAAGTCAACGAAAAACAAGAACCATTCGCATCGTAAATTTTAATCGGAAAGCCATCGCAATTTGTTAACTTTTGTTGTCTTAACTAGACAATGATATACCGTCACTTCGTTTGTTGTGTGTGTGTGTTTTTTTCTTTGTTTTTTATTATTTGGTTTTCTCTCTCTCCTACAACATTCAATGTGCTAATTTCGTGATAAAGTGAACGCGGCAATAGCAAGATGGTTATACAAACCACCCGGTGCGAATAGACAACACTTCCAGCGGAAATCGCATGCAATTGCAAACAAAGACCCCAAAAGCAAACAAGAATAAAAACTTTTCTTCGCACGCAATGTGTAAATAAAGAGAGGGCGACGACGGAAGGCGTACAGGAATGTGGGTGGGTGGGGTAGCAAGAAAAAGAGAGAGAAAAAAGCGAATGAAATCGGGCCACCGACATGGTTTATAAAATGCAATCGTCCACATTGTCCGAAGTAAAATTAAAATGGTATTTATTTTTCTCGTGTGAACAATTTTCCGAATCTTGATAAATCGTATTTGTCGGTTGAACGTTTCAATTGTAATTTGAAAAGCTGTACATTTTCTTATTCCTTCGTTCGTTCTCTCTCACTCTCTTTCATTTTTACTCTTCGTCTTCTCGCTGGACGCCACCGTCACCGCGTTCAGTTCATTTTCACTTAATTCGACTTGTGGTGCGGGATCTGTGGCGCACAAACAATATAGAAAAAAAAGAAAGGAAATGCATTGCATGGAAATGCACAGACAAAAACCAAAAATCTCGAATGAAACGAACACATCTACTCACACTTTGTGCGCTCGCAATTCACAATTTTATAAAGATAAACCGCCATCATGTGTGTGTGTGTGGCACAAAGCTGGTGTTAGACATTCAAGTCTAGTTAAGCTGTTCACTAGCTGGATTTTTCATATTGGCGACCGACCAACACGACAAAAAAGAATCGCATCGCAATGATTATTTTACATTTCTTTTGGGTTTGGTGGCAATAGCAAAAACACATTCTTTCACTTTGTGATGTTTTGATTCGATTGAAACGACACATTGTGTGAGTGTGCGTATGTGTTCGAATGTGCAACGTAAGATGTTCACCACTAAAACTTAAGTTTAGAGCCAATTGTCGAGAGCAACACCGAAGGCAATACTGACAGACGCTGGGATATGAAATGGAATACCAATTTTTATGGGTTTAAAGTGCACCATAGAAAATGCTTTAAAAAAATGGAAAATAAAAGGCCAATAAGAAATGATCCCGTCACCTTTGTAGAATGCTACAAAACGAGATTCTTCTTCTGCTCTCTGCTGTGTTGCTCATCAGTAATGTCAGCAAAATTCTGTTTTTGCTCGAATGTCTTTTGATTCGTCGTTTGGTCGTTTCGATACTTTTGTGAACGAAACGACACCAGCGAGAGAACGAACAAGAATGAAGATACAACCGAAGAGGAATCGATGAAATCCATGTGATTTTATGTATCCTTCGCACATAAAAAGCGATTATTAGAAACGGGACAATGCTCTCCGGTATGGTGGCGAACAATAACGAAATTATACTTTTTAAAAGTTTAATTTTTTTCTTCTCGTCTTCTTTTCATCGTTGTTCGATCCGATCAATATCGTTTTGACATTTTCGATGAAGTAACAAAAAGCACACCAGGAGGAAACAATGAAATGCCATATCGAGTGAAGCGATGCATTAACATTTTAATTTAACGGAAGAGCTTAAATAACATGATTTTTTATGGCGGCAACCAATTCAATTTCAGTTTTTTTTTGTTTCGTTCATCATCGATGCAATTACTTCCGCAGCATTAATCCGAAGAAATGCGAATCATAATACGTCTCGCTTTCTCAACTATCTCTCTCGCTCTTTTACACTCATTTTCTCTCGACTCAAATTCGTTTTGAGTCGGTCATCGTATTTTAAACTCATAAATGAAAAAAAGAACCATATCAAAATGATATTTTTGTGAAGCGAAAATAAAAAAGAACGGTTTTTTTGGCATAAAGCTGATGATCGCGTCTAATCAAATCGAATTGGCTTAGTCAATCCAATTGCATTCGGAATTGTAAAAATACATTTGTGTAAAATCCATGAATTTATGTGCAGCATCGCTCCGAGGTCTTCAACCTCATAAAAATTAAATTCATTGCAGCGAATGCGTCAAAATGCAAAAATAACCGTTGCGTTGATACGTAATATGTTTGCCATTGTTAGATTGTGAAGAAGAGAAAAGCTAAATGTTTTCAGCTCCTTTTGTCAAAACCGATCGCAATGATACATGAAGAGAACTTTAACTCGATGCATCGGAACAATAACATATACATCGTGAAAAAGGAAAGAGAGAGAGAGATGCTGAACAAAACTATGAGTCGAGCTCGAGCGATGAAAAAAAAAGAGTATAAATTAGATTATAGAAAAGAGACAGATAGGGAAAAAGAAAGAAACAATAAAAGCTAAAAACTGATATTGACTACACAAAAGTAGTCGTCATCGTTATCGTTCGCTATTCACACGCCGGCTAGTTGTATCACGTTCAATGGAAAGAGACACAAAAATAAAGAATAAAAATTGCGAGCTCACTCTTTGCTTTGGCGTTTAAGACGGGCGCGGGGGGCAAAAAAGGGCGCACACAGTTGCAGAATCAGAAGAAAAGCAACAGAAAAAAATATTAGAGAAAGTGTCATGCTGTTGTATGTTGTCTCTAGTTGATATTCGTTCACTTTTGTTCGTTGGCACAATGGTTCATTGTTCGCGCCATTCAATAATAGCAGCAGTGTACTCTGCGAGACAACGTCGAGCTAGAAAATTAGTTTCCTCATTGATAGTCAATTGAACCGTTGAACAACTGTTATTATTTTTACGTTAAATTCTTTTGCCACTGCACATCTGTGTGTATGTGTGTATGTGAAATATTTTTTTTCTTCTTTTTTTTGCCCTTGCTTTTTTGGTTCCTTTGCTCCCTGTTCATTGTGCGACGCTTGTTATTTTCATTATGTGTTGCGTCTCCAAGCACATGTATATTACGTAAACGCGTCCTGTCAACTCACAACTAAAAAAAGAATAGTTTCGAACAAACGACCAGTTCTTAGAAGCACGGAATGTTTGAAACTGATGTGAAAACGAACCAACAAAGGCGAAAAAAACTCGTCGAGTTAAAGCGAAAAAAGCGTATAAAAAGAAAAAACGGAATGAATAAAATGATGTAGTCGGTACACAACGCGATTCAATGCACTCCAAAGAATGCCCCAACGGTTATTGGCCATGCAATAATTATTGTGAAAATATTCCTTTCTGGTGCTGGTTATGCATAGAAACGGAGAACGAATACAATTAAAACACAAAACATATCACTATAGCTGCGTGCTTTTCATTTCGATCGCATTCCATTTCGTGTTCTGTATTTGGTTTTCTTCGTTTTTCTTGAAGTTTTTTTTCTTTTCGCTCGCTCTATAATTGTTTTCCGTATGGGAAATAACGGTTCACCGTCAATTGCGCGTAATCGTCGTTAATTCTTAAATCCATCGAAAACAGGGCAAAATTCCGAAGAGAACAAGCATATACATACGCACGAGCACACACACACACACCGGGAGTGCGAACGAAAAGGTGGTGTGAGCGGGTATGGAAACCGATTTGAACGTGAATACGCTCGAGATATGCCATTTTATTTCTGCACATTAATTTCATTTCGTTGGCTTTTTAGCAATGGTGACCGCGTACTGTGCCATAAATTTCACAACGCTTAGCTCAAGATCGCCTGATGAACGATTGCCATAAAATGTCAAGTATAATAAAATGCTTGCAATTACTTTATTAGCTTAGTTTTTTTTCTCTCGCTCTCACTCACTCTATCCCGAAACGAAAAACTTCTCACACAAATCTTAATGGCAGTGTTTTTTTTTTGTCGTTGCTTACCACTTTTCGAAATTTTATAACTCATTGAATTCACTGCGATTTCATCAAAATGATGCTCATCGGATATAAAATGCCAATGGTGAATATTTTGCGAGCAAAAGATGAGACGAAAATCCAAAAATCCAAAAATCCTCAAAGTTTTTGCGTTTTTTAATCGATAACGAGATTACATTTTGTTATTCATATTTGAATAAACTTTGATTAACTTTTCGCTCATCTTTTTTGCATTCGCATGAGCTCGTTAAATTTTTTTTATCTCGTTGTGTATATACATTAAACAAATTAATCAGATTAATTAATTTGAAATTCATTATGAGCAGAGAGGAGTGGAAGATGGATGGCACGCAGTTTTTCAAATTGACACGAATCGAATTGACTTCGTTAGCATACTGATTATAAATAACTTTGAATATTAGATCAACATTAATTTAAGATCCTGTTTATTCGCTGGTACTGTTCCATAAAATCAATAGCAAAATTTCACTTGAAAAAGTAAAAAACTTGTCGCACACGCACACATACATAATCAAATGAGCAACTGCAAATTTTATGAATGGATACTTAAATTTGTTTACCGATGTGGCTGTGTCAATG